CGGTATACATTCTGAATAGAGTACCTTCTAAATCAGTACCGTCTACACCAATGGAGTTGTGGTCTGGGCATAAGCCTAGTCTAAGGCATCTCAGGATTTGGGGTAGTCCAACACATGTGCTGAGACCCGATACTAAATAGTTGGAACCGAGATCAGAAGTAAGGCTATTTGTGGGATATCCTAAGGAAATGAAAGGTGGTCTATTTTATAGTCCCGAGGACCATAAAGTAATCGTTAGCACGAATACTAGGTTCTTAGAAGAAGACTATGTCTTAGATCATAAGCCCAGTAGTAGACATGTTCTTGAGGAGTTAAAGGGAGTGAGTATTTCAATACCGAGTGCGCTAGATGTTACACCACAAAGTACTGCAACATGTATCGCTGATGATGCACCTGAGCAGGTAGTACCTCGTCGTAGTGGGAGGGTTGTCCGGCAGCCCGAACGGTTCATGGGTCTAGGAGAGTCTTCTGAGGCCGTCTCGGACGTTCTTGAATCCGAACCATGGACATACAATGAGGCACTGCAAGATCGGGACGCAGAGTCTTGGCAAAAGGCGATGAAATCTGAAATAGAGTCAATGGACACTAATCAGGTCTGGGATCGTTCGCGCCATTGGATGCAAGTGGGTCTATAAGAGAAAGAGAGGAGCAGATGGGAAGGTTGAGACCTTCAAAGCTGGGCTTGTTGCGAAAGGGTACACTCAGAAAGAAGGGATCGATTATGAGAAAACCTTTTCGCCGGTAGCTATGCTCAAATCCATCAGAATTCTCTTGGCTGTGGCCGCTCATATGGATTATGAGATTTGGCAAATGGATGTAAAGACCGCTTTCCTTAACGGGAATTTGGACGAGGACATCTATATACAGCAACCCGAAGGATTCATTGCAAAGGGCCAAGAGCATCTGGTCTGCAAGCTGAAGAGGCCCATTTATGGGCTGAAGCAGGCTTCGAGGTCTTGGAACATCCGTTTTGACGAGGTTGTCCAATCGTATGGATTTACCCAATGTCCGAATGAGCACTGTGTGTACAAGAAAAGCGATGGAAACATGGTGGTGTTTCTAGTGCTGTACGTGGATGATATTCTTCTCATTGGAAACAGTGTGAAGATGTTATAAAACGTAAAGGTATGGTTATCCAAGCAGTTTGATATGAAGGATTTGGGTGAAGTAGGACATGTTCTGCAATCAAGGTTATTCGCGACCAAGAGAAGAGAAAGTTGTGCCTATCCCAATCCACATACATAGACACTGTCCTAAAGCGTTTCAACATGCATGATTCCAAGAAAGGGGATTTACCCTTTCGGCACGGAATACCTCTATCTAAAAGGATGTCCCCGAAGACGCCTCAAGAGATAGAGGACATGAAGGCAGTTCCTTATGCATCGGCAGTAGGAAGCCTCATGTATGCTATGTTGTGCACGCCACCTGATATTTGTTATGCCGTGGGCATGGTAGCAAGATATCAGAGTAATCCAGGACCATAACATTGGTCTGCGGTAAAGCATATACTCAAGTACCTACGTAGGACTAAGGAGTACATGTTGATTTACCAGGTGGATGAATTGCTTCCGTTGGGTTACACCGATTCTTACTTCCAGGCATACCGGGACGAAAGCAAGTCAACCTCAGGGTTTGTGTTTACTTTAGGAGGAGGAGCCATAGTATGGAGGAGTGTCAAGCAGAAATGCGTGGCGGACTCAACCATGGAGGCTGTGTATGTAGCAGCCTCAGAGGCAGTGAAAGAAGCTGTCTGGCTCAGGAATTTTCTCCTCGACCTTGATGTGGTATCGAGTTTGCCTGCTGCGATCACAGTGTTCTGTGATAACAGCGGAGCAGTAGCAAATTCGAAGGAGCCATGGACTCATAAAGCGAGTAAACACATAGAGCGCAAGTACCACCTGATACGAGAAATTGTTGGACGAGGAGAAGTCGTTGTTGCCATGATACAATCAGAGAACAACCTAGCAGATCCTTTTACGAAGAGCCTACCGGCAAAAGTCTTTATAAGACACGTAGAAGGAATGGGAGTCAGATGTTAGGGCAACATAGTAGACTAGTCTTTGAGAATTAGATTGAAAGAAATTGTGGTTATTTTGTTTAGCCATGAGCTTATAAAGCATAAGTGGGAGATTATTAGAGGTATGCTACAAAAGCTATGTTTTGCAGATTCTATCAATTCCATTTTGATCTGGCCATCATGTTTCGGTCAAAGTACATATGTTTGCAGTTTATTTATTTATGCAATACATACTCCATGTCTTATATTGAGGTAGTGTGGTTCGAAGTATTTCGAACAGAAAGATCAACTATCGGTTCCTTATAAGACTAAATCATTCGTTCACAGTCTAGACTGGCAGTGAGACCCCACTTGGAAAAAGACTGTAGTGTATTCTTGATTCAGTTGGTCTTTGACTGGCACTTATGTTAAGTGTTGAACAGGACCACGGAAGGCAAAGTTTATGAGACTCACTGACCGTAGTTGTAACCTTGTCCTTCAGTGATTGATGCGTTCTCTTAAGCCGTAAGATAATATAAAATAGGCATATATTTTTGTTTCTTATTTATTTGATTTACCAAGTGATTCCTATTTTATTAGGATGACATACGAAATATTTTGGTAAGTACGAATAATTATATGATGTGCTATTATAAATTATTTATGGTCACTATGTTCCAGTGCGCTGGATTGATGACGTCCCCGAAATGAGCTCAGGAATGTACGTTATGTTAAACCCTGCAGGTATACGATATTCTGACATAATGGTTAAGGATCTGAGTGGTACTAATTTCGGAAATGAATAAGAAGTTGATTAATTATTTTGTCAGTAATTTAATTAATCAACGGACGTTATATCTTAAACATAGGGAGGTAAATCAATCAATCGGATTAATATTATTTAATCATAGAGGCTCAATTTTATTGGTAAATAGTGGCTAAATGGGGAGAACAATAATATTTGTAACACCCTGCTTTTTTTACTGAAATTCAGAGTACGCTTTTTTGCAAAATCTTTGAATAAAATATTTAATTTGCGAAATACTGAGTCGAAGTGTTACCGTAAAATTCATGACTTTAACTGAAAACCGTTATTTTTAATATAATAACAAATGGTTTATAAAACATAATACCCGACTAAATTCGGATCAAAAGCTGGTTTGGAAAACTGATCAGTAGCGGAAACCGTAGTGTAGCTAAAATGGTATATACACATATATGCAAAAGTCCTGAACCGGTTGCCAGCTCACTCATCGGCCCCGACTCTGTGACCTGAAAAACATGAAAAACGTGGGGGCGTGAGCACTAATACACTGTGCTCCGCAGAAACTCACACTGAAGTAAACAGTGAAAATAATAACAATATCATGATCCTGGTATATACATAAACTGAACATGAAACCGGTAATAACATGAACATGAACCTGATATAATCACGTGAACGTGAACCATGACCGTTACCTCATCTGCCAGCATAAAAATGTCGGACACCATGTGCACACTCTAGTGGGCAGACTAAGGCCACTAGAACTCAGAATGGACCGGCGACCATTCCGAGCGGATACATGACATGAAACACATAACTCAAACATGGTACCGTAATTATAATCAATGTAATACCCAGTCTGAGTCCCCACCTGATTCGTGAAACTGAAGGTAGTGCTGATGCCTGATCAAACTGAAATATAATATAAACAATTACTACTGATGTAATACCCCGTTTCATTTTGGATTATTGGAGAATAATTATTGATTATTGCTATTATTAAATTGTCTTTATTTATTATTATTATCATATTTATTATTATTAAAATTGCTATTAACCGTCAAATTGATATTATTTATTTCTTATTAGTAACTAGAAGGCTATCGCCGTGCACAGCACGGCAGGCCCACGTTAGTTATTCTCGAGATAATCTTGAGGTCTACATGTCGTAGCACGTTCTTTCGATTAAGGGCGACGTGGCTCATAAAAATGCAGCGCCACGTGTCAGATTCAAATTCATCACTCGAGCCTTTGTTGTTGTCTTCTGGTTCTTGATCACTAATTGTGTTGCAAGCTTTGTTGTCGAAATTTTCCGCCTTAACAAAATGGCCTCACGTCCTCTTATTCGTTTCAGGACATGCTTATGCCGAAATTTGTGAAGATATGGCTGATGATAAACAGTAAAAATGAATCTATTAAACACCTTGATTTTAAATTTTCAAAGCATATAAAACCTCATGCATGAATAACTTAAATGTGTAATTCTAAACAAAGTTGAAAAAATATTTCATCAAGTAAAATGGATAATCACAAAAACCACTCCTGAAGTTTTGGGTACATATAAGAAAAATTACAAATATGCTTTACGGGGCCAAACCTCTATAGCTCTTGAAGCTCCAATCTGTTCCACCTTTGCACGAACCTACGCCTCAAAATCACATATATTGTTTGGCATTCACATAAAGGCTCTTCTTTAATTACTTTAGACGGCACTATATCGAAAAAAACCTGTCCATGCATCCCTGGATCCACATGAAAAAAAAAAAAAATCATGATCATTTGTTTTGTCTATCACATAGAAAAGCAGGAATCAAAAGTTCGAATACCTCGCAACTTTAAGCAAATATTTCAAGAGATAATCACGACACTAAGTGTTAGTATTTAATGTTCTCACATGTGACAAAACCAACTTCATTCGTTTGAGGTTCTTGCATTAGATATCCACACATTGTCGGAGACAATGTGCATATGTTATGAAACTTGGTAAAAGTTTCTCAGACAACATAGAATACAAAGTATATTAAACGACATCATAAGAATTTCTCGATAACTGATTGGAAAATTAATTGAGCAATGAGAAATCTGAGCCAAAAACATCAACAGATGTTTTGGAGACCTGAATACGGCATTTTTATATTTGTTCACCAGACGAAAAGTCTAGCCGATAGCTCACTCCCGATGTGCCTCTTGATGGTATGTTTGGTGAAAAAAGTTCGACTCCATTTCCATAAACCTGACCTTGCAAACAAGCTGATGATGATAAGGTGTAATATTTTGCACCCAACTCTTAGGCTCTCCGTTACCCTGCCATCTTTGCATAACTTCGACCTGTTTGATCAGAACAATATTAAAAATGCATTAAAATATGGAAGAAATAAACAAGAAATTACTGAACAATGAGTGAAATAATAGAATGAATTTGGTACAAACAATGAGACACACACACACACAAAAAAAAAGGGGGGGGGAAAGCAATGTGCGACCTCATGACCATTTATTTAATTGAAACTAAGAGTAATTTTCCCTTTGAATTACATTGTTCTGTTTAGTGAAATTATTCTGAATCATCACATATCCTAAGACTTTTACACATTCGTTACTTAGATTTCGCTACATTTGTGGATACATGTTAATCAATTTCAATTCTACTAACAAATATGAGAAACATCTATTATCCATGTTCTTCCCAACTTTGAGTACCATAAAATTTAATTCAATTCCATATTATCCCGTATACATTCAACCATCCATTCTCAATGGAAGTTAGCAATCAGTAACCGATATTTATATGTGCACAAAAATTCTTAACCATTATTTCTAAACTTAAAAAAAAAAAATGGACAGTAAAAATGATAACAAATAATAATAGACTTTCCTTTTGTTGTCACCAGCATGAGCAAGAAGCTTCATATGCAAACCGACAACAAACTCTAGTAGTTCATATGCAACCCTCAGATGCATATCTCACAATATCTTTAATTGGTTACGACTAAAAAAACTTAACTGAAACTGAAGTTGTTCTTCATTTATTGAACTAAATATTACACTATTCGTCCATATCCGACACTTCATTTATTGAACTACACATTACTTTCTCCAACAATAAAACATGATTTGGCATATGAACTTCATATGAGCAACAAAATAAATGAAAAATGATTAACCTATACAAAAGCGATGAAACGAAATTAGAAGCAAATTTTAGGTTCAAAGTAAATTTTTAGAAAGTGTACCTATTCAAATACTGCTTCTTCTTGATTGAGGAATTACTAATTGGTAATAAATATTATTAGACAAGAGATAACGATAACAAAAATTCTGAGAGCAACAAAAGCAGAGATCCATCCTAATGAAAAACATACATGGATACATCTTCAATAACATTTGAAGATCTGTCGAGCCATTGAAAATGAGTTAGCCATTCTTCCCCTCAGAAAGATAGTGAATATGATTTTAGTGAGAATAAACTAAATTGTACATATACAGTATCAACACCAGTATCTTCTGTTATAGAATAGAATTTATCACGCTTCTCGATTTTGGGAGAGAATGAGAAAGCTGAAGGAATATAACATGACAAGAAAAAGAGAATCTTGTACTTACCCTTCCCATATGAACAAGTCCATTACAATAATCGAGAATAGCACACATTCCATCCATATAAGCATTTTTCTGGCATGAAATCACGGTAGAACCTTTTGGCCAATAAAACAGAAGGAAATTATCATATATTCAAGGTACAGAATCACTGAATCAGCGTACCGAAATATCCACCCCAAACCTAAAACCTTAGACACATACAATTTATCGAACTCTGAACTATAACACATTCAAGTCATACAACCAAAGTGGATCATATCTTGGTGTAGGCCAAACATTGATGATTTAGCAAAAAGGAAGCTTACCTAAGTCGAGTAACCGCTCCTCTTGAGTCCATAGACTCCATGCCGTCGAGCTTTGCTCCATCGGCCCATAAGTGGAGAAAATTTCATCGTCGTTGAGGCTATGGCGCTCAGACCAGCCGTGAACATAAAAATAGAGTCCGGACGGCAGAAACCAAAAACAAAAAATCGAACAGATTCGCATAGGAAACAAAAAATGGTAGATTGAGTTTTGGAGGCTCCAAACATCGGCGAGACGGAAAATTAAACAAAAATATTGAAGAGATTTGCAGAGGAAAAAAATTGGCAGATTCAGGTTCAAAGGCAAGAAAAATGGGTGAGGAATTTGCTTGGGGAGGAATTGAATGCGCAGGCGGTACGATATGAGAAATATCAGACCAAGAGAAAGCCATTTGGGTATGAGCCGACGTCGTTTATAATTCGGGCGACGTGGCTTAATATTGTGAGGGAGGACACGTGTCAAAAACTTAAGGTAACACTTCCTTTTTATAGATAAGAGAATAAGAAGATATGTAGTAGTATTTGTTAGGAAATTTATGGGTTTGATTTTTTATGAATTATTTTGCTCAAATCCATTAACTCATAAAAGACAGATAACACCCTCTTGTTTACAAAATATTTATTAACGTTCTATAATGAAGTGGGTCCACCTCACCTTCCTCTTGCCCCCCGTCATTATTGCATTGTACTGTCAAGCTGGCTTTGAATTGGAATTTTACGAAAGGCTCGAGAGTAAATACAAAAGACTTTCTCAATAAATTCAACTTCTCAGCCAAGTGAAAAGAAATGAGCTTCAACCCACAGATCTCTCAGCCGAAACTCACTCCACCGGTTCTTTCGCCGGATGCTCCACTGGAGAGGACAGATCCACATACTGAAGGCACCGGCAGCGTGTCGGTGACGTCGCCGGAGAAAAAAAAGAAACGGAGAAGGGAGGTAAGTTGATTTTTGGCTTCTTATCGCAACTGTGTTTCTGTTCAGATACATGGATTTGTGACCCGATTTACATTTAAAAAAAAATGGAGTTGCGTATGTGATTTTCTGGAATTGGTAATGAACCCTAAAAATTGGGGATTAGAGTTTGTTTTAATTGGAACCGATCTGTTTAGTTTTGCATAACTCCATTTATGGTGGTTCTTCCAATTGGCACGGTGATTTTTTTTTTTTTTTTTTTGTAACAATATTATGTGCGTTGTTGTTCACTGCATTAACAATTTTTTTGTAAAATTTTGTTTATTCCAACTACAATAAATTGTTATTTTGCTCAACAAAAAAAAAAATTGTAAAATTTTTATCAATTATTTTGCTCAAATCCAATTAACTCATAAAAGACAATAACACCCATTTGTTTACAAAATATTTCTAACTTCCTACAATAAAGTGGGTCCCACCTCACATTCCTCTTGTCCCCCGTCATTATGGAATTGTACTGTCAAGCTGACTTTGAATTGGAATTTATGAAAGGCTCGAGAGTAGGTACAAAAGACTTTATCAATAAATTCAACTTCTCAGCCAAGTGAAAAGAAATGAGCTTCAACCCACAGTCTCTCAGCCGGAAATTACTCCACCGGTTCATTCGTCGAATGCTCCACTGGAGAGGACATATCCACATACTGAAGGCACCAACAGCGTGTCGGTGACGTCGCCGGAGAAAAAAGGAAACGGAGAAGGGAGGTAAATTGATTTTTGGCTTCTTATCGCAAGTGTGTTTCTGTTCAGATACATGGATTTGTGACCCGATTTACATAAAAAAAAAAAAATGGAGTTGCATATGTGATTTGCTGGAATTGGTAGTGAACCCTAAAAGTTGGGGATTAGAGTTTGTTTTAATTGGAAACCTATATGTTTATTTTTGCATAACTCCATTTATGGCGGTTCCTCCAATTGGCAAGGTTATTTGCTTTCTTGTTTGTTTGTATTTTTTTTTTATTGGTAGTAACAATATTATGTGCATTGGTGTTCATTGTATTAACAAGTTTTTATAAATTTTGTTTATTCCAACTACAACCATTATATAGCAACAATTTTTTTCCATGCATTTTCCAACCCTTTTTATATATTCATACCTATTTGAATTGCTTTATTAAATTGATTTTTTGATTGATCACCATCTAGTCTAACAAGATAACCTAGAATCCAGAAGGAGATAGGACATCCGATTACGGTTCAAACATGGTAGACGTGTTCGCAATTGTACCGTCTACGAGTTCATTGCCTGGAGTATGTGTTTGTCTATGCTCGAACCCGTGTTCGTAAAAGTACCAGGGGTGGACCTCTAAGCTTGTGTGTATGCTTAAATTTGTTTGTCTATGTTTAATCCTTGTTACGAAAATTATTGGGAGTGAAGCGCAAGGTGTTTAGGTGAGAGCCTCAGCCTTTAAACAAAACAATAAACGATTGATATAGATTTAAGACTTGAAGTGGTGAAACTTGACGCCGTATAACTTCTTCTAACTCTCTACTGATTTTATTGTTTGGCTTTAAAGTTCTCTATAGTTTATAAATAATTTTTCAACCCAATCATGATTAGAAATTTCAAGTTCTTAGTTTCTTTTTTGGTGTGTGATCGATACGAATTTTATATTTCGAACTGCCTTCCTCGAGAGATTGACCGAGGTCGGGATTCATCCTAGACTTGGTAAAAAAATATAATTTGCTACAACATTGATCATAAAGCCACACTAAATGATAATATGGAAAACATAGACATATAAAATTCAGTTGCAATTTTCTTAACACTATTTGTTTAACATCATCATTATCATCATAATTATTATTATTAGATATGTGATACCAGACCGGGTCGACCCGATCCAAGAAAAAACTTGACTGAAGCGAATGAACTTATAGGTCGAATGGAAATCGAAGGCGCTACAGGTTGAAGAGACCTAAGGTTCATGAAATTACATATATCAACCTAAGGTTCATGAAATTACATATTATAATGTATATAAATATTAATGACTTAATTGCTAATAAAACTATGACCTTTTCAAAAATTGCAATTTTATGCACTACTTTTAAACTTGCAAATATATACACTTGTTTCACTTGGCAATTTCATGCACAGGGCCCAATTCGGGCTTTGTCTGCTAACGTAGCTAACGACGTGACGATTTATGGTGACATGGCATTTTTTGTGCACCATATCGCTGACGTGGCTGATGATGTGGCATTTTTGGGCAGTCTACCTGTTGACATGGATGATGACGTGGTGATTTATGTTGACATTGCTGACATGGCAATTTTTAATGACATGGCTACTGACGTGGCGGTAAAAAAATTAAACAAAGCTAGAGTTCGAATTTGAGACCTCTAGGATGCATGATGATATTGTAATCACCACACTAATCCAAGTTATGTGTTAATTTAGTAGCGTTTAATATATATATATAGACAATAAATACAATTAAACTTTATAGATAGAGTAAATTATATTAGTTTACATTAATAAGATATAAACTTATAATAGTTAAAATATAATAAAATAAATTATATAATATTAAATGCAAGAATAAATTAAAATAAAGTAAGATAGATTATAATAGTACAGTGCATTTAAATTAAATTAAACATAATTAAAATTAATTATATAAATTTGGAAATGAAAAATGATAATGATAAAATTAAATTAAAAAATAAACTAAATCAAAGTATACCAGTTAAAATTACATTAAATTATATAAGGTAAGATAATAAACTGTAAAACATGTAAATTAAAAGGGTTTATTGCACCAAATCCCCCAATATTATATGAAATCTGCGTGTTATTCCCTTGTATTTCAAAAATTGCGTCAAACCCCCTTGTATTTAATATATGCGTGCATACTCGCCCTTTAAAGTTAACACCGTTACTTTAATACTGACGGTGTTACTTTTTCATCGAATTTACTATTATACTCTTACTTTATCACTGAATTTACTATTATGCCATTATACCCTTGTTTTATAACTGAATTTACCACTATGCATTACTTTATCACTGAATGTACTCTGTCAAATAATATATATATTCTAAATTATATATAAAGAATATAACATATATATAACATATATATATATATATATATATATTTATAACGTATTTACATACATTATATATATAATGGTTAATATATAATATATATTATATAATATATTATATATATATATAATTTATATAATAATCGTTATATATTATATATATATATAATTTAATATATAATATATATTATATATATATATAATTTATATAATAACCGTTTTATAACTTAAATTATATATATTATATGTATATGTTATCATCCGACTCGGTAATGCACTGTTAAGATCCTCAAACAACGTCTTAGACGGCTTACACCGACATGGGCCGAAGCAACCCCGGTCCGTATAACAAACAGGTACAAATCCAAAAAGACCGAAGTGATCCCGACTCGCCGAGGTCACCCCAAACCGAGGTCAAACACAAGCCGGGGTCGTCACCTCCTAAAGCAGGTGACAAGGCGCCTACACTTCCCCTTCACAATCCACGAGATTTATTATCATGAATGTAGGGCCCACTGATTCTGCCGCCCATCAAAAGTAGCTTTATATAAAAAGCAACGCACGGATCCCGAAGTATATACCAAAAAGTTACTATAAATAACTAGCTAATGGTACTTGTACGGGATTCGATTCCCGAACTGAGAACGGAACATCTCACTTTAATAATGAAACACGAAACGGCTGACAAAGGCCTTTCACCTCGGTTCACCTCAGACCGGGGCCATTGATGAGCATTTTGTTTACATTTCATGTTCAAATTATCGTTAAAA